GGGTTTGAACCGCCAGCCTTCTGGTTAGCAGTCAAGTGCCTTAGGCACTACGCTACCAGAGCTCCCAATACAGAAATATCAATATAGAAATATCAATAGATAAAACCCATATAAATAAAAACTCTTTGTAGTCCTGAATATTGGTATAAAGAGTCCTGAGACCAAAAATTTTGAGGCCTGCTTCCCCACATAATGAATAAAATCAGGTAAAGACCACCAATTACAAAACAGATAATGGGATGAGTTAAGAGCTATTCAAATAAAATTCCTGAATATTTTCATTAAATTTAATAAACACTTATTGAGAAAGGACTATATGTAAGATACAATGTTAAAGATGCTTTTTTAAAAAAATATTGGATCCCAACTCATCCAGAAGGATGTGTGCATTTAACTTATCTATGAAAAAGAAGCCTGTTATGGCAAACTGTTTCTTACCCTGACTAGGCTACACTACTATTTAGTTTTTCAGAAACTAGGTATTTGTTCCCTGAAAAATGCTAAGACTTTGATTTCATTAAAATCCTAAACAAACATTTGGGAAGCAGTTACAAACTGTGGATGGCTATAATACTCTTTTCAGATTTTATGTGACTGACTCTTATTTACCTATAATTATATACCGGCATATTAACCTTCCATCTTATTAAAAATAAGTAATAGCTGTAGATTATTTTACATGCTTCTAATTCATTATAGGAGTAATGATTCTATTAAAGGGCATTTGGAGACATTTGTATGCCTGTTCCAGGCCAGGACTTTGATCCGTAGTAGATACTCATGCCATGTAAAACAGTATCGTATCACCTGAGGCAAAGGGTATCACATATGAATTAAAGCTACATACCAAAAGTAGATTTTCTATCTGCTATCCATCTCAAAGCCCAATCTGCTTTTTTCTTAACATATGGCATTGTTTCAATTGCATTAAATAAAAATTCCCTGTAAAAACAAAACAATGGCAAAGTTATTCACCTGTTTTTCTTTAATCAGATTAAATTTTCATAGTTTAATCAGAGACAATAATTGCAACTTTATGGTATGCTAGTAGATCTGCAGTATTTCTATATTTTTCCATGTCCATAAAATATAGAAATGAAAGCAAAACTCAAATCAGTGGTTTGGACCTGGTCCAATAAAAAACTAAGTTCAAATATTCTATTTCTACACAGAATGTGCTAATCAACAGGCTTTTTTTTTTTTTAAGATACAATATTTACAGACTAACTGGTTCTTTACAAGTTTTTTGGTAAAGAAACAGCATACTTCTAACCACACGTATCTGAATAATCTTTTCTAAACTTTTAGTTTGGGAATACATTCTGCTCTTAATATAATCAAGCTATAAGACAAATCTTTGTTTATAAAATCCCAGCAGTATTACCTTTTCTTGGGATCTCTGATGTAAGTGTCTATTAGCAAACTGTACATCTCTGAGTGAATATTCTCGATGAGAATTTGAAAGCCATAGAAACAGCGAGCCTCTGGAACCTGTACCTCCTGACTAAAGCGCTCCACCTATGAAAATAAGGGAAAAACAGATGTATCCAATTCTGTGGGTTCTCTGAAACACTGGATTAAACATTGCTACTCAGAATCTAAAATGGAACTCTGGTGGCGTAGTGATTAAGGCATTTGACTACTAACCAAAAGGTTGGTGGTTCAAACCCACCAGCCACTCCACAGAGGGAAGACTTGGCAATCTACTTCCATAAAGATTTACTGCCTCAGAAACCCAAAGGGGGTCACTATGAGTCGGAATCGACTCGATGGCAGTGAGTTTGTTTTGTTTTGTATTCAGAATCTAAAAGGAGGTCTGGTGAAGTAATGGTTAAAGCATTCAGCTGCTAACCAAAAGGTTGGCAACTGGAACCTACCAGCCACTCCATGGAATAATGATGAGGCAATCTGCTTCTATAAACATACACAGCCTTGAAAACCTTATGGGCCAGTTCTACTCTGTTCTATAGGGCACTATGAGTTGGAATTGACTCAATGGCAGTGGGTTTGGTTATTTTTTTTATTCAGAATCTGGGCATCAGAATTATCACTTAAAAATTGCCTGTCACACCACAAACAGGTCAAAAGGACCTTATGGGTTATTTTAAGCAGTACTGTTTATCCATCGGCCCTCAACAATCAATTAGTTGCAAAATGTATTCTTAAGCAATTATGTAGAAATACTGCTTATAAGCTGCTGTAATAAATTACATGATATGGCTTTTCTAGCCACAGTATTTGTAACTCCCACTTTGCTGTGAGTAGCTGAGTAGCTGCCTGTTGAAGTTATCCACCTGGAGCAACACAAAGTAATCTTCTTAAGAAGTTCGCTTTCTCTCAGGTATACAGAATTCTGATGTTGGAATTGGTTAGTTTGGCCACTCTGCCAGGCTAAAAAGGAGCCCTCCTAGAGGCAGAAGGAATCTCTCACTGCCGGCTGAGAGACATGCTGCTGAGAGAGACGTACCTGCTCAGAGACAGACATGAGAAACAAACACTGCTGAGAGACACGAAAGACACGTGCTGAGACATGAGAGATACATGCTGCTGAGAGATGTGAGAGACAGGTGGTGCTGAGAGGGAGACGTGAGAAACACGTGCTGAGAGAGAGATGTGCTACTGAGAGAGAATGAGAGAGACTGCTGGCTGCTGAGTGAGACGGCCAGCTGGGAGAGACTGAGCGCATTCCTGAACTTGAATTGTAGCCTGTTGCTTCCCTAACAAACCCCATAATTTGTGAGTTCTGTGTGGCCACTGCAGCTAATTAGTGAACCCAGAAGAGAGGTGGTGGATGCCTCTGGAGGAATGGTTGGTATCAAGGTTAGTAAAAGGCTAGGGGGTGGCGGCATGTCTGGCCTCGTAAGAGCAGGCTTTGCGCCGCTGACGGTGATTATGTCCTCCTCTTGTGTAGTTAGAGAGGTCAGAAGATGCTGCCTCCTTACCCCTTTAGCATAAGCCAAATATGTTTTAGCACCAAAACCAAAACTTAGCACTTCTACCACAAATAATTATTATGCTTTATAGAACTGACCTTAAGTCACTTTTTCCTGACATTAGACAGATCAATCATCTGTCTAGTTCATGATGAAAGGTTTTATCTTTCTATTCTCTTTAAAAAGAAAGCATGCCCCAAAGAACTGTATCCGGAGTCTTTCCTGTGCCTGAGTTGTAATTTGTTACTTCTTTCATAAATCTCGTAACATTGGGGAAAAAAAGAAAGAAAGCATGCCCCCGATCAATCATAATTCAAGTTTAAAAATGGGGAGCCAGAACCCAGTGCTCCATTACAGAGCTCAGGAAGGGTTACTAAGGTGCAGGTTCTCAATTAGCTAGGAGTCAAAATCAAACTCACATTTATTCCACAGAAATAGTTTTGATCGGTATAATATATGCTTGATTTCATATTTTGCTGCTCAACTGACAGAAATATATCTTTTCCTCTGACACTTCATCAGAAAAACATTTTCAAGAGTTAACCATCATCTGATTCATTTCTTAGACATCTTTATGCAGACTCAGTCTAATTCTGCTGTTATCATCATTTAACTACTGAATGAGAACAAAAGTAAAATAAAACAAAAATCTTACCAAGTTTTCATTTACAATTCCATCACTGGCTGCAAAAAAGGCTAAGATGTGAGAGATAAAATACTTCTCGTCTGATTTAAGCTTGTTCCAGTGAGGGAGATCCTTAGATAAGTCAACCTGAAATAAAAAGTTTTCAAAAATTTGAACTTGGAGTTAAATTTTTCCTAAAGGATTTGGAAAACTAACTTTCACCCCAGAGTTAAGGAGGATCATCTCATTACTGGTAAAATATGAAAAAGGAAAATGTTTACATTATAAAGAAGTAAAAAAGCCAGAAACAACATGAAGGAATCTGATTTCTTGGTTAACTGAGACAAAGACTGACCAAGGTGTACTTTAAAAATATTAAAAGTAACATTTAAACTTAATGATATAAGAATAAAATCTATGTTTTATATAATATTTACCATATTGTTAGATAATCTGGTTCCAGGTGCTGTTGAGTTGATGTCAACTCAGAGTGACCCATGTATTTCAGAGAAGACACAGAGTAGTAGTAAATTCCATAGGGCTTCCAATGGCTAATTTTTCAGAAATAATGTGCCAGGCCTTTTTTCCAAGGTGCCCTTGGGTGGACTCGAATTTTCAACCTTTTGCTTAGTAGTCTAGTCTGTTAACTACTACCCAGGGTAGTAGTACAATTAATAGTAGACAAACACCTGTTAATCAATTATAGCTACTACTGTAACTGTCCACTAATCTACTTTTACACCTAGAAGTAATGTTGGCAGGTAATCACCTGGGTTTTAAAGTTGTTTGTAGGCATGGCTTTCTCTGCGTACAGAAATATTTTAAAAATATATCCTTGGACTTAAGAGAAAGATGCACTCAGTAGAGTTTGGTGAAATCTACAATTTAAAAATTGTGTTTAAATGTGCTTGTGGGTATCACTTTGTCTCAAGAAAATCTCTGTATGTTTCACGATACCCTTGCAAACATTTGAAATAAGCAACTGTCCTTTGTTCTTCTATTTATGCTAACATAGCCCCCACCTCTTTGGCCTTTCAAAAAGGACAAATGCTCCTTCCTTTTAATCATTTAAGTGTTCTTTTCTAAAATCCTTTTCCCACTAACTTAAACATTTACTGAGTATCTCCTATATGCCAGACACTGCGCTAAGTGTTAGAGACAAAATGGGACTTAGAGGGGACACTACCTGTACACATCTTTTAATATATGTCAGCTAAAACTCAGGTTCTGCTCAATTAAGACCTCAACTCAGGACATTTTCATGTATTATACTCCTGATACTAAACATTAGAATTATGATATGCTTATTCTTAATTACTATACTTTTAACTTATCCCTTTGACCACTCAGTTTCAAAAGGTCCCTTAAACTGTATTCATACTATATTGGTCATTCTTCATTTCACTTTTAGAGATTCTGCTCAGGAGTCTACTCTTCTCATTAAAAACCACTTCTTTAATTTTTGAGTGTCATTTAGAATTATAATCCTACCAACTGAAACCTAAAATTCCCTGCCCATCTCTATCTCATCTGAGTAAATTTTCTCAATTTCACCACCAAAATATGCTGATTCCAAACCAGCTGATTATAAAAACCTTCCAGGTGACTTTAAAAACTATTTCTCAGACCTTGTGCCTTGTGAATCAGGGTTTCTGATGATTGGTCATACTTGGGAACTAAACTAAACCATTGATAACATAAAGGAGTCTAAAGCTGATTAAACAGTAAAGCATGTAATTTGTTTAAATGAAAAATATTTGGACCTAAGAGTTTATTTTCCTTCAAAATGTGTATTTTATCATTGCTATAAGCTGCCTACAAAATATGTACCAACTTGTGTATCTTAATTTTTAAAAATTAGCATTTCTTAGTTACAGAATAGTATATTTGCCAAATGATGCAAATAATTTCCATGTGAAATTCAAGAAATCAAAATATCAGAAATACTTTTTTTAACTGATGACTGAAAAGGCTACCTCTGTACTCCATTTAGGAGCTCTGGTGGTGTAGTGCCTAAGGCATGTGACTGCTAACCAGAAGGCTGGCGGTTCAAACCCACCAGTCATTCCTTGGAAGGAAGGTTGGGCAATCCACTTCCATAGTGATACTACCTCAGAAACCCAAGGAGGGGTCACTATGAGTTGGATCCGACTTGACGGCAGTGAGTTTGGTTTGGTTTTTTTGGTATTCCATCTGTTCACGTAACCATTTGTTCTCTTAACCATATCTAACAAAGAACTTTCTAAAAATCACAGACAGTTAAGGGCAGTCAGGTGTGCTAAACATGGGCCAGTCTGAAAATATTAGGTCTTTTTCTGTTGTTGCTCTATACAACTACAGTATAACAAACATACTGACAATATAATAATATAATAAAGATGGGTAAGTAGGTAAAACTTAACAGAATTTTCAAAAACTTGGTGACTTCCATGATTTCTAGTTCAAATCTCCCCCATTGTATGTATAAAATAGTAACTTATATTTAATTAGTGCTTACTGAGTATGAGGAGCTCTAGTGGCACAGTGGTTAAAGCATTTGGCTGCTATCTAAAAGGTCAGCAGTTTGAACCCACTAGCTGTTCCGTGGGACAAAGATGAGGGAGTCTGCTTCCATAAAGATTTACAGCCTTGGAAACTTTATGGGGTAGTTCTCCTCTGTCCTATCAGGTCACCATGAGCTGGAATTGACCCAATAGCAGTGAATTTGGTTTGGTTTGGTACTGAGCACAAGGTACCATTCTAAGTATCTCATTAGTCTCCACAGCAATCCAATGACCTCGGAACTATCAGCCCAATTTACCTATGAGGAAACAGAGCAGTTTAGCAGCTTTCCCATGTCCACAGCTAGTAACGAGTAGACCCAGGATTTATACCTAGGCATTCTGGTTCGAGAGCCTGCATTCTTAACAGTGTGTGTTTACACATATAGAACCAATCTCTCTAGCAGTAGATAGAGACACACATATATCCCTGGGAGGTACAAACGGTTAAGTGCTGGACTGTTAGCCAAAGGTTGACAGTTCAGACCCACCCAGAGATGCCCTGAAAGACATACTTGGTGATCTGCTTCCAAAAGGTCACACACAGCCTTGAAAATCCTATGGAGCAGTTCTACTCTGCACACACAGCATCATCACACAGAGCAAGTAATACCTATGCAGGTATCACCCATCATGTTCAAAGATGAAGACTGAGTATGTATTCAGTGCAGGGCTTTGAACTGGTTCTGCCCAATTCAGTCATAGCCAATAAAGAAAAACTGGAATGAACCCAAATTTGAAAAATGTACGTGAACTGGAACAACAACAGAAATGGGGAAAATAACAGGTTTGACACACTACTAGAAACTTCATCTCCAACTCAGAAAATAAGAGCAGCGTGTGCATTGCACAGCAACCAAATCTCTTGCTCGGCAGAATCAGAGGAAGCAGTGCTCCGCTCAAAGATGACAGCTGCCCATGTCCCTTTGAATGGGTGTTGCTCTCCACTGTCCTGGCAAAAATCACTTCTCCCAGATCACGTTTCTGAAAGGGTTCACAATGCTTCTTCCAAGTCTCCATTCCAGTTCTTCGACCCATAATTTTTCCTATTCTAGTTATCCCTCTGCTTCACTCAAATTTTAAAAATTCAGGTCTGTTCTGATTTCGCTTCATAAGCCATGTCTGAATCAGTTTAAACTGGATTGAAGCCCTGGTTCAGTGAGACTATAGTGTAATCACTTGCATGACCAGCTGTCCTATCCAAACAAGCAAGTATTCTCTAATTTGATGTCTTCAACTCATTTTGTAGGTGGAAAATGCCACATTAACAGAAAGCTTTATACAGTTGTCTTTCTGTTAGGGATAGCTGTGCCAGATGTGATGTGGCTGAGAGTAGGGCCAGACTGGGAGGAGCACTGTAAATTCAGCCTGGCAGGCTCAGGAATGTCGCAAATGAGTACGCTCACCGCCTGCCTGAGAGGTCAAACTTTCTATGTGACAAGCTCTTTCTGCACAATTAGGTAAGTCTCTCCCACGTAAGGAAGCACTATTGCCAAGGCTTTCACTGTTTTCGGCTATAGCTATCCTGCTGGCAGTAAGTAAAGATTAGCCTTATATGGCCACAGCAAACCAAAAGTATACTTAAAAATAGAAAATGTTATAAGATACATTAGCAATGAAAAGCTGACAGAATGAGATGTCATTTTTGCAGCAAGACACCTGTTTATAGAAAGCAATCTAAACACAAAACACTGAAGAACATTATATTTTGTCTCAGTAATTCCAAACCTTATCTTAAACAACTTAGCTTATGCAATATATATTATATAATTTAAACTTAATATAAGTTAACATTGTTCAATATCCTCTGATAGAGGATATCAACACAGCACAACAGAACACTAATAACTGTGACATCTCTTACCTCTTCTGCTGTCCAGAAGGATGCCTGTGCCTGTTTATACATCTTCCAAATATCGGGGTACTGGATGGGAAAGATGACAAACCGGCGAGAACTCTTTCTCAGGAGTGGCTCTTCACTTGACTTCACTGCATTTTCATTGGTATCTGAAGATAACCTCTTGGAAGAATAAAGTACAAATGACCTTTTTATGTAGTATTTCCCCTTTTATTTATATTTAAACACATACCTCGGCGAGTTAGGGAGTAACCACAGGTTTGAAAGTACCTGAGTTGAATCCTTACTATTAATAATATCTGGCTAATGGTGATTGACAGCCACTCCTCGGAAAGAAGGACCTGAATTTTTAAAACTTGAGTCAACATGGGTGTGATTTCCAAGGCTACAATCTTCATGGACCCAAACTGTCACAACTTTCTGCTGTGGAGTAGCTGGTGGATTCAAATTCCCCACCATTTTGTTGACAGCCAAGTGCTTAACCACTGTGCCACCAGGGCTCCTAAGCTATATACATATTGTTTGGATATTTGCTGGCACTCTTAATAGAATGATGTCAATGTTCTTTTTTTTGTTTTGTTTTTAAATTAATCAGCAGCATCAGAAGAGTAGTGCATACATGAAAATGACTATATAAAAATAGGTAAAATATATAAATCAAGACTATTAGGATTTAAATTCTGAACTTCTAACCAGAACTGTCTCTCTCTCCTGTGTCAGAGCTCTTCATGTTCCTTCATCCTAACTACCACCTCCACCCACTGTCATACCTCTCCAAAACAAATGTGCATCATAGCAGCCAGGGACAGGGCAGAAATGGCTAGGGTAAGGCAAGCCTGAGAGAAAGGCACAAAATGAAAGCATCAGGCTACACAAACACAGTGGGGCGTGAGCACTTCTCACACATATTGTCGTTATAGTATGGTATAGTCATTATAGTACACAGTATAGTTTTCTTTTGTAACTACTGATTTAAAAGTGTGGGCCTCCCTAGATAGCACACCTGAGCTCCAGAGAACTGGGACCAGTTTTTCTTTATTGCAGCGTTCCCAGAGAACACTACTGCATCAAGTACAATGTCAATAAGCAATAGCTAACTACATGAATGTACTGCTACCATCTCTGTGCTAAGATTACTTCATGATATTGGTAATCTTTAATTTAATATATGACCAGATTGTAATAGTAGGATAATTCAAACACTGAAATCAAGCCTTCTCTGAGCACCCCACCCCTGACCTCCAACCCAAAGCCTGGATTAGGTATGTCACTTAAATACCCTCTTTGTACTTAGCCCTAACATAGCACATATCTCACTGTAATTAATTCTCTGTTAATTTATCTATAGTCCCCTCTAGGCTATGCTTGTTGAGAGTTAAAACTGTCTTCATTCTGGTAGAAAACCTAGAGCCTAGCACAGTCTGACAGTTAATAGGTATTTACACCATAAATACTTGAGCAAATCTAAAAAATGGAAGTTTTCCAATTTTTAGATAATTTTTTGTTGTTGCTGTTGTTCTGTCATTAACAGCTCCCAACCTCAGAGGAGTCATAAGATACTGAGACGATACAGTTCCAGGCTCTAGAATAGGAAGAATACATAAAAGCAGGTCCTCCGGGTCTGACTATGAGGTTTCCTTTTGAGTCTAGTCTCCACACAAATGCTTTACAAACCCATACAGTAACTGTGCAAATAGGTAATGTTATTTTCATTTTCCTGATGGGGAAACTAAGTCTTGGAGGGCATAAACAACATATATAAACTCATTCAACTAATAAATGGCAGAAATAAGATTAGAACTGGGGTATGTCTGAACTCAAATCTTCATCTTAAGCTACATATCTGTGGGTAAGGAAGGGACTGACTGTAATAATAATCTGTAATAAAAATTCAGTCTATAATAAAAATTCAGAATTTAAAACAATGAGATGAACTAAAGCCAAAGAGAGCATATACTACTTTCTGTTGCTAACTCAAGATAATTTAATAAATGACAGTGATATAACCAATGAAATGAGTGTGGGGGAAAAAAACACAAAATTTGATTCCTAAGAAAAGTGGAAAAAGTCATTTACTTGTAAATAAAGTTGAAAGAACCAAGATAACTTGAGGCTGGTGAAAAGCAGACTAGTAAGATTTAAAGCAGTGATTTTTAACTGTGTAAGTTTCAAAATCTGTAAGGTAGTACTTCATCAAACTGCACTAGCCTTTCCCTTTCTTTTCCCCAGGTTAAAATGACTGTATGTAATGAGATCATGAACTATTGATGGAAATAATGTGGAAAATGGACAGTAAAAATAAGGTTCAGATCAGTGTTTTATAAATTGGTACCTCTACAGAATAGCTGGGAGCTCTGGTAGCATAGTACCTAAGGCACCTGACTGCTAACCAGAAGGCTGGGGGTTCAAATACCCCAGCCACTCCTCTGAAAGAAGGTTGAGCAATCTAATTCCGTAGAGATACCGCCTCGGAAACCTAAGGAGGGGTTGCTATGAGCCAGGTCCAACTCGACGGCACATAACAACACAGAATAGCTTGTTCTATGACCTTACCACCCTGAATGTACCCAATCTCTTTAGAATAGCCTGGTGTGAACCAAACTATCATATATTACTCCAAACAGTTCTTTATCATATAAAATTGTTTTCACTTATAATAAGGGCATAGTATTGTTCATGTTTTCAGGCAAGTCATTTGATCTGGGCACCATCATCTGCAAATTAAAGATAATGTCTGTCACATTTATTACAAACTAATGTTATAAAATTATTAGAGGAGCAAATAACACTTTGCACACTCTCAAGTGCTACACATTTTCTAGATTATTATAGTGTCCTTATTGACTATTGGGATATTCCTAGCTGATCTTTTAAAGGCTGTCTATATATATATATGGTTGGGCAATCCTACTTCCGTAGTGATACTGCCTCGGAAACCCAAGGAGGGGTCGCTATGAGTCAGGGCTGACTTGACGGCACATAACAACAACAA